GATCGGTAGGCGATCGGTACGACAAGAGGGGAGGTTGAGGACGAGGAGAGGTCCAGAGGCTTGAAATCTAGTCCTTTTCGAGAAAATATTTCGCACGGAACCGGCGATAAATCGAATGACTTATTATTGCAAGCCGCGTAATCTCGGACTCATTCCAAAGAAATGTGCTACGCCATCGAAAATAGATATGTCGCGGACCAGATCCATTCAAAAACACGACCATGAATTTTACATCAGCGAGTCAAGCTAAAGCTAACAGATTCTGAATCGAAATTAAATCGGGACGCTCAGCCGAGGAAGCCAACGAAGAAAAGAGGAGTTGCCCATCATTCTCCACTTACTGCACTGATTGATTTACGACTGACACAATGAAACGAAAACGAGTGAAGCAATAATCGATCAATAAAGATCGCAGCATATTGGTAATAAAAAATATGTAAAAGATATTTTATGATTATTTAATTTACAGATAATTTATAGAAGGATAACTGATAAAAACAGAGATAAAAAGGAAATATACTTTACGAGTTAATTGGTTGTAATACAAATAATATACATAATTATAATCCATAATTATAATTTTCAATTCGATGTGATTTTATGAAAATTAGTTAATCTACAGCATTCGGTAGACAATGTATATATACTGTTGATAAAATTAATATTTTATATTTTGATATATTTAATGCATACATTTTGTGTATTGAAATTTGACGTAAAGAATAATGATAGAGATGTACCTGTAAAAATTTGTCAAAGCACTTAATATCGAAGGATTGTTTGGACCAAACAAATTTTATCGCTTTGCTCGACGACCTTTAACACATGAACGATGACGGTGAAGGAATATTAATGCCGCGGCTCCATCTCAACGAACCAATAAATTCCGAGTTTAAATCCGGCGGTTTAACTTCAGTGTTGCTGAACGATCACGCGAGTTCAATCGTCGCACGATATTTCGCTTCAGAATGTTTATCACGAAACTTTGGTATTCCCGCTAACTTATGATTCCGTATATTTTCTCGCTCGAGTGAAGCCACCTTTAACTTTCTAAATGTATTCATTGTACTTCAATCGCGAACCGAGTCAGAAAAGAAAAAAATTCCAGTGTTAAAATATCACTTCACACACACACATTAAAACAGATATACTTAAATACTTTTTCTTTTGTTTTTCTCACTTTTTACTTGTTTCCATTGCATTATACAAAATAATTTATGCATATAAATACTTGAAAACTGCAAAGACTTGAAAATCAAATAAAGAGAGCCTAGGAAAACTTACAATAGAATTCAGAATCAATTAAAGTTCGAATTTTTCTAACATCTCCTATGTTTGGTCTTCTTGTACAATTTTAGTTTTACAATTTCAGTACCCAAATTTGACAAAAAACTTTTTTCGAAAATCGCAACAAGTTTTTAACGGTCCAAACCTGTTTCCGCAGAGAATAACGTCATAAAATTGTCCTAGAAGAAGCTAACGCCAGCCATGGCGAAACTTTGCTATAGCTGTTCGCGACATGTCGATGTTTTTCCGACAGAGTTTCTCAAATCATGCGATTTAATCTAACCGAGTCCTACACGACTGTAAAACTTCGTTGACCGAACGAAATGCAGTTTTTTCGCGGTTGGGCGCCGATCCGCTGTGATGGCAGATCGCACCGCGCGGTTACAGCGATTCTATTATACGTTGTACTGTTACTGAACGTGTCATCCGTAATTATGATTGACGAACCAATTTATTATACGCGTATGCGCATCATTCTTAGCGTAATCAGTTACGCATAAATCATATAAACATCATATTATCCATATACATGTATGTAAATTGTATATATAGTGAGTAAGATACATATATATATATATATA